CATACACGTACGCGGCGGTGGGTCTTAATTAGTCGCTGTAGTCGCTGCTTCCTCCACCTTCTTTTTCTCCGTTCGTTTAACAATGGGCATGACCAATCCTTCACACAGGTTTCGTATTGCGATTCCGCATTTTCTATTGTCGAGTCTCCGCTTTATTCCTTCGCGTGCTGCTCTCGTTTTTTGTCGCACGTACGTGAGTTTGCGAATATTAAGCCGCCGAGTCATTCGCAACTCACAACCCTTTTGTTGTGCTGCCGCGGCAGCTTTTCAGTTTAGACAGGAGGGAAGGCTTTAATGATTTGGAATTTTCGGTAGGTGTTATATTGAAACGTTGAATGGGCATTTTTAATGACTAGCCGTCGCGGCCAAGTGCTTCTGATTACCATCATTGTACACAAATTTCTGCTGTCTCATTCCCGATCGAATTTCCGAACTGAAAATATTGTTGCGTCTAATCTGTTTTAGTCATTTCGATAAGCGATTCACGAGATTAAATGCGAGATCACAGCGTTTGCATTCGGCGCCGAATACAAAGCCAACAACAACAACAACAACAACAATAACAGGTAGCGAAGGCAATTCGTCGATTGAAATTTACCGAATTCACGCATCACACTCTCAATTATCATCCGAAGCTCATCTGTGGCTCGTTAAAAAAGAATTATAAACGCCCAAGATCTTTCGAGCGATAGCACGCCCGAAAAAGAAGCAGCGCGAGCGCGTGAGGAAATGACGATTCCGGATCGTCAATCAAACGCTCGACACACTGCTGGCTTCGTTGTCGCTGAGATCATAAAATTAACATAGCCAGTCAATAAATAACGAGTGTTTATTCCAGAAACCTCGTGCCATGCTTGCCGGCGCGCGATGCTTCTCTTCCGATAACAAATCTCCGTCTGCGCTACAGACGCATTTTTTTCATTCCTTGGCAGCATGTCGCTTGCCTCGGCAATTGGCCGCTCGCGCAGCTGCTGCCGATCGCTCATGCTCGAATTCAACTTGATACTCATGCGAGACGGAATGATATTTAAGTTATTTTTTCGGTTCTCCTGTCAGGTGGCCGTTTGAAAATTACAAAATGTAAGTAAGTGCGTGTTAAATGACTTCCACTTGCGAATTCCGTGGTAATGTACTCTATCCGTATAGCCGATGAGATAGCGGCTATCTCATCGACCGGAGGGCGAGAAGGGGGGGGGGGCAGAGAGCGCGCATAGCACGTGTAGTCGTGACGTCTTATTCGGGTTTATATAGGCAGCTGCTTTTCTCTTTCTCTCTCTGCCGCAGTGCAGCTACACACGTTCGCAGGCTGCAAAGAACGAATCAAGATTGAAGAAGACGCATATACGTACGCTGCGAGAGAGGCGTCGCAATGAACAGTCGCAAGGCAGCAGCGGAAGTGATGTCATTAACAGCGAAGCCGCAATTTTCAGCTTTAATTCGCGTATCCATACCCATTCTACCGTTCAACTTGATACGATCGCAAGCGAGCCAAATGAAATTTAACCACATATGAATACGAGTGTACAGAAATACGATGGCGCACGATTAGGCCCTTTGATCGGCCGGGAGAGTAGGCATATCTGGCAAAAGCACAACTAATTGTAAGCGCTCGGTGCTGCTAGCGCGCGCACTAAAGCTCCTGGCGTATACACACGGATGGAGAGTCTCTCTGTTGTGCCTAGCCTGCGGGAATGCCCAAATTGGTTTTATGAGCAATCAGCAGAGGCCGCGACCGAAGAAATCCAATTAGCTGCCCCGACCGAGCCAGAGAAAATAATAATAATGGAATGATCGGTGGCGGCTAGCTTCCATCCCTTTTTCTTCTTCCGCCTTATCTTGTGCATTTTTTACGGGTCTTTTTCATCGAGATTTTGCCGTGTGCGCGCGTAATATGCTTAGCTACGTTCATCCTTTTTTTTTATTCTGTTGACAAACATTGACGATCGATCGGCGCCTCGTAGTTCGTGGAACCTGCAATAGTTTTCGGTAGGGCACTTTGATGTCGGGCTCGCTCGGTTGACAGGCTTATCGTCAACGTTAATGAGGTCCTCGCCAGATTCCACGCTCTGCGAATCTCTCGATTCATCATTCGGATCAGTATCTCTTCTTGCGAAACTGCGAACGAAGTGTCGAGCGCAATTCGATAGCGTTGCGTGTGTCCAAACGATTCCGCTTAAGAATCAGTTTTTGCATGAGCTTTCATTCGAACGACGTAATATCTGTCTTGAGCTGATTAATGTATGCAAATGCGTGGTCGAATCGTGCATGGCGCACGTGGAACTGGATAAAATATGCAAATGTTCTTTTGGGACTCGAATGCTGGGGTCATTTAAACGGTCAACGTGTCACGGAACTAACGCGATAATTATGCCCTTCTCGCAAATGGAATAATCAGAAACGGCTGCGCGCGCCGCCTTCAATTGGCTGCTGCAGACAGACAACTGCCACGCATCCTCATTAAACGTAGAGTAGCATGTCAAGCAAGCTCTGACATCATTGTAATTAACTATATTCACAAAATCCAAATCTGGCGCACGCTGAACAAGTAACTTTGATAATTGAAAGTAACAAGCTTGCGTAGCGATAATTGATTAAGTAGGTTCGTATATATCAAAAATCATAATTGCAGTCCGAGCCCGGATATCTAATATATTTAGGCGTTTGAGCGCAGTGAAAATTTTAACGATGCGCAGCGTGGTAAAGTTGCACATAAACATCGTAGTTTAATTAGAGCCAGTGACGATGCTGGTACAAAGATACACAACTCCGCGACGACAAAACAACGCGCCAATAAAAAACGAAGAGTAAAAGAAGCCGCGGGAGAATACGAGAGAGAGAGAGAGAGAGAGGCGGCAAAGAAAAAAAGGAGCTGCAGAGCTGCAAGGATTCGGAAAAGATTCCCCTTGCTGTCGTCGTATTATATTAGCCTTGAGTTGCGCGCACTTAACCTCGAAATTTTCGATTTCGTCGAGTGGTATTTTAACGAGGCCGATATTCAGGCACTGGCGGCTTTATTTCGTTCAGTTTCTTTCTCGCCCTCCTGAGAGGGAGAGAAAGACAGAGAGAGAGAGAGAGAGAGAGAGAGAGAGAGAGAGAGAGAGAGAAAGCGCCCGCGACAAACGACTGAAGACGTAAAGGATACCTCTGCCGACTAATCTGTCCAATTAAAAAGGTCGTCGTCGTTGCTGAGCTTTTGCCCGAAAAATCAAGGTCCCGGGCCAGCAAAATAAACAATGCGTTGCAAACATATAGACGTACAGAGCATATCAGAGACGAAAAAGGGAGAGTGCGGTATTCGCTAATGAGAAGCCGAAGCCGAAGTACGGACGGACCAATCGAAACGAAAAATGTTAATTAAAGCGCTCGGGCCTCCTCCTCGTCACCGTCCTCTATCTCCTGCCGCACTCTCTGACTAGTATATCTTTGGCAGTGCCCTAATTGGCAGCTCGCGGAAAGGCATATATAGCTGCCGCTTCTCTCCGTCTTCTTTCTTTTCGATTGCCAACGTTTTTTCGGGGGTTGTTGTTGCTGCACTGCCGCGCCGCACCGCCGCTTCTGCTTTTTCGTCAGTAACAGTGAAAAAACAGAATAAAAGTCGGCTTCGCTCTTCTTGCTTTACCTGCCTGCCAATGAGCGCATTCGTGTGCTAATCTACTTGTGCTAATATATTTCACGTGCTATGCTTTTCGATTGCAAACTCAAGTTTTCTTCGACTAGGCCAATCATTCAAGTTTGTCGACTTAAAGAGTCCTAAGTGAAATTGCAAAATTCTGAAGTCTAAAAGTGCAAGAAAGATAGTTCGAATTAGTTACTGGCTTATCTGTTAAAAAATGAAAGTTTCAAAGGATTTCAGCAAACACCATTGAATATGTGCTTCCTTAATGGAAAACTTTTAATTGACCGAGCGGCAGATAAGCTAACGTATCTATGGCAACAGGCTGATGCGCGCAAAAGCACCCCCTTTATATCTTTATAGAAAACAAGAAGTAACGAAAAGTTGTTATACGCGTGGAGGTAATTATCGATCAAAGACTCTCGCTCGCTTTGATTATTACAAAAGGCAATAAAAAACTAAGATAAACGTTTCGTAATAAATACAGGAATCTGTAAAGGCAAATCCAAGCCATTGGCGAATAATCGAGGCAACGAGAGAGGGAAAGAGCGAGAGAGCAGAAGGATACGCGCGTGTGTATGCGTGTGTATCGAGCGTAATAAGCCGCTTTCGTTTAATGGAGCAGCAGCGGAGGTAAATCTCATAGCGGGTGCTACGAGGGCCACCGTCCCTAATCTCCATACGCCGCCGCCGGAATGTTGCCGAATTAAAGCCAGCTCGAATAATTAAATTCCGCGCGGTGGCGATATTCTCGCTCTCTCTTTCAAAGAGATTCGCCGTTCCTTTTATTTTTCTTCTCTCGCCTCTCTTCTTTTATTTTCTTTTTTTTTTTTTTAATCTCCATGCCAGGCAAAAAAATAAACAAAATTCTCGATATTCGGTCGATTCTATATACATGTACAGATGCGTTACTTTGTTAGTGCAAGTGTGCGTTATATATATATATATATATATATATATATATATATATATACGTGTGCCAGTGTGTGATCGGTCTCTATAACCGTTGCGAACTTGCTCGCGTAACGAGGCCTCGCTGGATATGTTAGCTGCGTTGCTGCGCTTTTTGCGAAAGTAAGCATTGATTTCTTCGTGTTTTTTCTTTCCTTTTTCTCTGTTTCGTGTCGTTGCTAATGAGAAAGCATTTCCGTCGCCACCCGACTTAGCGATAGAGGTTTTTTTTCTCTCCTTTCGCTAGAAAAAAAAGAAATGATATTAATGAGGCTCGATGACTTTGCACCTGTAATTACGATATATACATAGCGAAAAGTCCTGAGTGATTTTAGTGAGCACGTAAAGGAGTTTAGTTGATTATTTATAGAAAAAGTAGAAAATTAAATCGATCTCGTTATTTCTCATATTTATATACTACATGTTGCTGTTACAGAGGCGGCAAGTTCATCACAGTTGGAGATAGGATCAGACTACCCGACGATGTGACGATGGGCTACATAATCGAGCACTTGCTGAAGAAACAGCTTACCGTTGTCGAGCAGTTTCATTCGCATCTTGAAATTCTCAAGTTCCTCAACAAAGACACTTTTCACGATCAGGTCAGTTATTTGGTTGTTATTTTATTCTACCGAACCGTAGATTATATATCTAGCAGTTTTTTTATAGCATTCTTTGCCACGCGCTTCGAATTGACTAGCAAAGAAATCTGATTTTCAGTCTGTTGAAATTCACTTGGCGTGTTCGCACGTCTACGTTTCTCTTTCCTAAAATATGCAATTCCGTAATTTAGGCTTGCTCAGGTACACAGATCGTTCCAATAATCGCTACGACTCAGCTAATGAAATGCCATCTTACTTTAGCAAATAATCCATGGTATGCACGTAGGAGCCTCGATAATTGAATTTGTTTGAGTTTGACATTTGTATAAAATCACGTAATTCCATGGCAAAGTTGATGGACTGGATAGACAGTAGCAATTTTGTCTTTTATGAGATTCAGGATGGGAATTCCATGGAAACGAGTCAATTCGAATAGCAACAAAGTCATACATCATAATAAACCAGTTAGTTCCTTATAAAGGCCGCCCTAGCGAGCGTAAGAAAGTTTCCGTGCTTGCGCGCGGAAAAAGGATCTAAGGCATCGAACCTCTAGGTTTACCGGAGATCGAGACGTCGAGATATATGCTCGCGCATAACTCGTTTATTAAGTTCTTTGCTCTGTCCGCGCGATGCAACCGTTTCGATAAAAGGCTGCGCGTCAGCTTTCTTTTGCTCCGTACTCTGCGCAGGCACTTTGTCAAACATCGCTTGACTGCTCGCTCGCGCTCGTCACTCCCGTCTTTGTATCTTGATCGCGACCAACAACGCCAAGAAAGTATAGAGCTTTTTTCACTGATCCGATCGATATGACTTATGTTTTCAATCCCCGCTCTACGCTTTGTACGCCCAATGATAAGGCGTTATCTCGTTGCGGCTGGACCATCAATTAGACTTGCATTCCCAGAGTCGTCGTTTTGTTCTTGCCTTATTTTGCACTGCAGCTAACTGCACTTGATCGTTAACGCTCGCCATTTATCATACCACTTCCTAGCTGAAATGCTTTTTACCTTGTCAAATCACATGGAGGATTTTTCTTCCAATCTTGCTTTAGATTCAATGCACAAGGATATTTTTGGAAAGAGAAGTTGATCCGACAGGGGCTGAGAGCGAAAAACAGCAATTCATGGAGGATTGCTTCCTACCTGTCGCGCGCACTAAATGATACAAGAGCGCTAGTGTACTCAGGCCGGGAAAAGTGAAAATAACGGGCGTTGGTGCGAAAGAAAAGAGTGCCCGGAAAATTGCAATGTAAAAGTGCGACGACTGCTGGCAGCGGTTGGCTTGTCATAGAATTGCGGATGAAGCGAAAAAAAGGATGGAAAATACGAGATGCACATTGTCGTAAAATCTTTTCTTCCCTGCACGAGCGAGTTTTTTGAAAGGAAACAATTCACTTTGTGTCTAACTGGAAATACATCATCTGTGAATTTCCAGTTACATGTTTGATTAATTGTACTTTGCACAAGTACTTTCTAATGATGGAAAAATATAATTGAAGATTACATAATGACCTTCCTAAACAAAATAATGCTAAAGTTCAATTTAGTAAAGTTCAGTCATGCTTTTTAGCAGGAAATGTCAAAGTTCATTATTCGCAAATACTAATCGATCAATTTCCAACTGATTACAGGTATCGTTCAGTTATTCCAAAGGACCACGGGATGACTGGAACGTTGTTAAAATAGACGGCTTTAGCACTGCAGACGATCCAAAAAGGTAGGATAGTCACTTTTGTTCTCGTGTCGATAGAAGAAAATGCTGTAGTAGCGTTCTACCAAAAATTTCCCGCAGTTGTTTGTAGCTTTTACAAATGTCACATTGAGGAAGCTTCATAAATATATACAGAAAAGAACTGCTATAAAGTAAATAATATCTCTATAGAATACTTTGCTGGAAAGTATATCATGAGCAATAACATTTACTACTACTGGAATCTCATGTAAAAAAATTCTTTTACACATCCGTATTATCTTATTAAGAAAACATTTCGTGTTTTACAGCTTTATTACGCATGTTTTCCAATATTCCAGCAATTTGATCAATGTCAATTTTTCGTAAATTCAAATCATATGCTTTGCAATCAAACAAGAAAAAAAAAATTATCTTTTTATGCACTCTTCACCTGATCGTCAGTGTTAAGTCTCATTTATTTATAAAATTACAGAAACTACATATTTTCGTTTACAGGTTCAGATCTCTTCACTGTCACTTGTTCCCTCACTTCTCGTACTGCCCGCACAGATGATGGCAAATCCAAAAAGACACGCACTTCAAGCGAGACAATGGTAACTTCTTTTGAAGCCCAAAAGACTTTTTATTTGAACAAACGTGTTAAAAAAACATTGAAATCTTTAATACATGTAAAATAAAAAATGAAGCTATATTTAATGAAATGCATACCATTTGTAAACTGTATTACATCAATTTTGCTATACAAAAGATTTATTTAATGTATAGCTATAATGTCAAATGTAAATCGATGTATATGCATTTTCAAATAGTGATTTCATCAGGTTAATATGATAAAACACAATTTTATAAAATTTTCATGATCGATAATTGTATGTGTGAGAATATTCTTTTTAAAAATCAAATTGTTTATTATGCCATTGAGATCATATTTTGACAAAATTTTTTTCATTGGGTTTGGTTTTAAAAAAATTTTGTTTGGTTATCTTCGAAATTATGTTATTTTTTTGATTGACAGATATTTATTAAAATCAATGACAAAATTGAAATATGATGTAAATAATAAAGTTTAACTAAAATATTATTATGATTCTTTACATTGATTAAATGTAAACTAAAAAAGAAATTCATTTTTTAAGTAGTTTACGTAAATTTATTGTCAAGTTTATCGAAAATGAGTATTTATTTTATTTCATTATTAGGTTCACTAACAAAATTTTATATTATTGGTTCGATATTTGTTATGAAAATTATAATTGAAATTTTCAAAAATAGCTTTATGAAATGGTTTATCTTCAGTTCTTTTGTATAATAAGACGTTCGAAATATGTTGTTACGTGTGACGATGTAAATACAGTGTAAGCATTTCTTGTAAATATCTGCAATAATAGCAAGCGAATATTTAATATGTAAATAAATAAATATAAATCGATACTTGTTAAATCAAAATTTGGCACAACAAAGCTCATGTAGTACCACAAAATTTCGGCTCTAAGCCTGAGTGTGATACATATTAAGCATGCATACTAATAAACATTCTTTTTTTTTATTCTTTTAAAAAAGGAACGGAAATGCATCTACATATATTTAATTGATTGCGTTAAAATTCTTTGAAAAATGTATTTAAATAATATGTATTCCATTGTCAACTTTAAGGAATAATTGACTTCTAATGAAGACTTGACGTACATTCATAAGATTATAAGTCTAAGCTAGTCCTTTCGTAGTAAAGCAGACAGCTATACACAAAATGTGATATGTGAATTTTTCATACACGTGAGCAAATAATTATTATTCTATTTGAGCAATTATTAATTATTAATATTATTTTTGTTACCTCTTTTTATGTTTATTATTTTTTAGAGGAGTCTGAATGATTGTGCACACTGTTTTGAATGCTATTTCTCTTTTTTATGTGACGACGACTACTTTGTGCGAAAAATACAAAAAATTCTTATTTTTTTAAGATTGTCGTCTGCGTTATTTGGTGCAATAACTATCTTCTATCTGGTTTGCCATCTCTTAATTTACCTGTGAAATCTCACGGCTATTGTTTGAGATGTTATCGCGACATTGTCGCTCTAAGCTCTTTTCTGAACAATTGTAGTTAATGTTATTTTCAATGTATAAATACACAATATGCACATTATAAAAATAGACTTATTTTTTCACCAATACCGATGAATAATAATAAATTCACTTTTGATTATTTTATTGTCTTTTAATTTTCAATGCCTAAGAAAAACAGATATTTACTTTTTGATATGGTTAAACAAAATAAAAGCAACAGTCTTAGTGAGAAGAATTAAAGAATTCAATAGTTATTTTGTGGATTTATTATTCTATGATTAATATTAAAATCTTTTTTACATACGTAAAAAGTGTGCAACTGAACTCCATCTTCTGAGAGTTGATTGACTTAACTTCACCGATAAGGTAGATATCTGCCGAGATGGTAAGTATTTTGTCTCCAGTAGGTAGTTTCTAATTTTTTAAGACCGAAAAAAATCAAAGTAAATATTCAACTTATATTGATATAGTAATAAAAAAATAATCTTTGTATGTAAAGTAAACACCATATAAGGAGATGCTTTTCTTGAATTTACATTGATTGTTGGTGAAGTCACATAATTTTTCAATAAGAACTATTCTATCCAAAGAATCAATAAAAGGATTATATCAAGCAAACATTGAAATAATAATACATATATATTTGCATAATCAGAAATACTTGATCATATTTTTTAGAGTAAATTCGTTTACCATTATATCCATTAGCAAAAAATTAATAATAAATAAGATAGCAATATCTTGCATGACGCAACCAAAATGTTGTAAGATTTTTATTCGTTAGTAAAAACAAGTAATAGGCATAAAACGGTTTTAAAAAATTCTTATTATTTTATTCTTAGAATAAGTTTAATAAAATCAACTTCTCGAATAATTTTATTAGATTACCACGCAAATGGCTTATCACGGTAGCAACAATTCAGGATCCCCCTTCTAGAAAACACCGATTAGGACCTACTTGCTGCGATTTCATAAATTGTTAATATAATAATAACGCGAGCAGCTCTGGCTACTAATAAGTATTTTGATTGTATTCTTTAACTTGGTGATTGTCAATACAGGGTTCGTTTTTCGTACCTCTGTTTTGGCCTTTCTTCCGCCATTAGAGCATTTCGCGCGGGCGCATTTAGCGGTTGGGAAAATATACGAGTGCGAGAGAAAAAATGAGGGCTCGGGTTGCTGGCGTACCCACTTGCGCTCACCGAGCCGTCAGAATCCGTTTTAAAGTTCACTTTGTATGAACGAAAAGAGGCGCTATGAAGTAAGGGCTGCTAGTAGTCTAGCTAGTTTTGCTACTACAACTACGCACTTGCAAATGGACTTCCAAATACCAACTTTTCTCGCTCTTTATTCTTTATCCTTTTATAGACATCGATTTCATCTTTAAAGCTTCCAGTGCATTTTCCTCTCAAAAAAAATTTTTTAAATAATTTACTATTTTTACGAGACTTCTTTTCAGAATGTTTTAACTGTTGAAAATGAACAAAGATTTTGGTCTACTTTTGGAACTATTCGGTTTTAACTGAATCTTCGAACAATTACAAAAGCTTGTTCTTTTCTGATTGTAATGTAAATGAAAAGTTCACATACACTTTCGTCCAACCATCGTTACTCACCCGAGAATAAAACGAGTGTATCTTTGAAGCTCAATATGTTAGCTGAAAATGAACCCATGAAGCTCCGTGACAGCTCATTTTAGAGATCTTTTCAAGCCATTTTAAATATTGTGTATTAAAAAAGATCATATATACTTGGAGCTATTTTTTATATTATAAAAAAGATAAATAAAGTTTTTCAGAGTATCATTGATCTTATATCTTTATCTTTACTGGATGATAGTAGTCCTCCTACTAAAAGATTTTGGTTTAGGTTTATTGGATGGCGATGGCTTTAGTGCGATTTTTTTTTTCGTTATAAGTTGTAGGCTAGAGAGGACCGGGTTCTGCTGGAGAAATATTTGGACTACTTTTACATAGTCGTTTGGTCGTTTCTACGGAAGGAGTGTCAGGAGATCAGCATCCGAGGAGCCAATCCGGATACTGGATTTACAGTTTAAGGTGGAATCCGAACCACCAAAGCCACAATGTTAATTTTGACACATATACTTTTATTGAAAGAAACCCATTGGACTCGCCGGGAATTGAACCCCGGACATCGGCATAAAAGACCGGTGTTCTATCCACTAAACCACCGTGACACTTTCTCTAACTAAAAGTCGATGCGCATGCGTGATTACAATGACCGTACATTGACCGGACATTAATTGGTAACCTGCGAAGTTCAAAATAAAAATTATTTTTGACGATTCAGTATTGACGACATCAAATGGATTTTTTTCTGATAAGTTGTGGGAGCACAATTTGCCAAAATAACTCTTGACCTAACCTAATTTGGTATCATAGATGTTCAATTGTGGAAAATAAATTGAATTTTCAACTTCGCGGGTCACCAATGAATATCTGATCAATGTATTATCATTGCAATTACGCATACGCATTAGCATATTGGACTCTTAGTTGGAGAGCCACTGCCATCTAGTAAAAATAAAGATATACGATCAATATTACTCTGCAAACCTTGATTTATCTTTTTTACAGGAAGATACGAATTATAACTTTCGTATTTTTTGTTGGTACAATTTAAAAAGAATCTATTAGCATTGTTGCTTTTTTTTAATCCAATATTTGTGTACCAAGTGTATAGATTTTTCGAGATCTCGTTTTTTTGGCTTTGTTTCGATTTTTGAACGATATAATTCGTAAAATTATTATTTTTAAATGTTACAAATTAAATAGAAGCTAATTATGCCTGATGGGTCAACTTAATCGATCGATATGACAAGTGTTGAGATTATAATGCCTTAAAACCATCTATAAATTTATAGGATTGCTTTTTTATAATAAATACTGGTGTTGTTTTGCTATAATATATCTTCAATATTTTTAAACAACTATTTGTTTCACAAATATGATAACAAGTAAATTTTGAACTTAATTTTGGCAATACAGAAAATATGTTGATAGAAAAGTTTGTGAAAGGCAAACGTAAGATTTACTTTTTCAATAGCTTTATTCGGATAATTTCAAATAATTCATATTAATAATAAAAGCATGTGATGTTTTTTTGAAGTAATCGAACAGATGCATGATGAGTTTTGCTATAGTAATGAACGCCTTAAGAAAATGGAGATACAAGCACAAAATGATTATATCAAATGAAATAAAACATTAGAAATTTCAAATATTTAAAAACAAATATTAAATTTTTTATAAACTATATATGGCGTTGTCATTGATTTTTATGCATATTTCGTGTTGTTATTTATTTTGAAAAAGTCATAGAACAAAAATAATATTTCTAAAAATTAGCAAGTGAACAAATTTTTTCTATGTGAAAGAAGTATTTTTTAATCAAAGTCAAATTTTTTCAAATCTAACTTGCGTTAATGCAGAGATAAAAAAATATATTGAGAGCTAATTTATGGATCCAGACTACATGTACGCTTTGATCCAATCTCAGATTTGATTGAGTCACGATTTTATTGATATATCTATATAAAGTTCCAAATGCTAATTAAAAATGTCTATAATCTGTTGATAAAATAAATCGATTATTAAATTTATCGGAACATAGTTTTTACGTATTGTTAATACGATCACTGTAATATGAATAGTACATCTCTTCACAGTAAGGTGTTTGATGAACCTTATTAATGCAATATCGAATTAATTAAATTATTGCCTTAGAAAATAAGGTATAATGAGAATAGGAAACTGATATTTATTACCGTACTCTATTAATGTGTTTATATCGTTCATATAATATTGTTGAAAAAAAAACAATGTGACGTTTGAACGAAAGCTGACCATTATTAATGTTGATAATTGATGTTGATGTTGATAATTTTGCTTCAGTAACGTTGACAATTGTTTGAAGGTACATTCGGTTTTATTCACCGCGTGCATTGCAGTTGCAATGGTAAGTTTCGATTGCTACGGTTGCTTAGCTCGGTCACGACCTCTTACGAATTCAGGTCGTGGCACTGAAAATGCGACCTATATACGATTGTTCTCTTTTCCTAGACTCTCTTGTGCACTTTGCAGTAGCATTTGGCCGAGTGTTCAAATGCCTAGTTCATTTTGTTCTACTACTTAGCCTTCCTCAATTTCGCTTTGTTCCCCTGCAATATTTACGCTTGTATACTACTCCTCCTCTGTTTTCCTTCTCGTTCAACTTTTCGCACTTTTCTAGATGACTCTTTTTTTCGTTTTCTTTCTACATTTTCTAACATTTTCTTGTTTTTGTATTTTTTCTGCTATCGAACTTGCCGAGTAAGATTTTGAATATAGAATTTTGTGAACATTTTTAGATCAAATATGCTTGCCAATGGAAAAAATGTCTCAACTACGACTCGAGAACTTTTTTTCCGATTAAAAATATTTAAATATTTGAATGTTAGACTGAAAATTCAAGCGTTATGCAGATGAAGTGGAACGTTTTACGAAGTAGACATTTCATTATCAAAATTGAAAATGCTTTATTAAAAAATAAGTTCTTTTAACTTGTCACAACAATCACTTTGAATCATTATGAATATTCATAATGATTGTCAAAATGTACGAGGCTCTATTGATTTATTGATTTTTGGAAGTTGAATGCCAGTTGAAGTAGGAACTTTTAATAGCTGTCCAGCCCTTCCTCTCCCTCTTTTATTCACCTCATATTGATCTTTTTGGTGAAGCAAAATCCAGGTCACAAACAGAGCGAAAAGGGAATTTTTGTGTTTTTGACTTGTACGCACACTTAAAATAACTTAAATACAGAGACGATATCAAGCACAGAATTAGTAAACCTTAAGAAGAAAGATTTATATTTGGCAATATCAGTATGTGATCTTGTAACCTTAATAGTTCGAATATTATGTATATCATACAATTAACTTTAATGAAAAATTGAGTTTCTTGTAAGATGAAAAATTTTTTCAGATGTCGTTTTCTACAGCATAAGTGTGTGAGTTTTAACGAATTCAAATATTTCTCCTGAAATTGATAGAGCAATAATCGAGAAATT